CCCCACGCCTACCGAACAACTCGCAGTACTCTGCCCTGGCGACCTGCTCGGGTGGGAAGGGAGCAGTTTAACGACCTGCTCAGGTCGAAGCAGTGTTACGACCTGCTCAGGTCGGAGCAATTTAACGAACTGCTCAGGTCGTAGCACTTGCATAACCTGCTCAGATCGTAGCAGTTCTATGGCATGCTCAAGACATGACAAGCCCATGGCCTCGCGTCCTCTCCAATGGGAATGGGCTCTGCGTCCCCCATGCTGGTCAGGTCTAAAGCTGTGTTGGCCCTTTGTGCCTGGGAATTCAGAGTCCTGATGGCCCAACACCAAGCCCTGACACGCTTCGAAGAAACACAATTGCATGAGCAAGTCGAGCACTGCATCGGACAATACTCTTCGCGTCTGCTTCAGCCACATTTTAAGCCCATCGCATGCGTAGAAGCGACCTACTTTTTTCCTGCAGTGCGGTCGAGCGCTGGACGCGTGGCATCGAGAGGGGCAGTCGGGAGGATGGAGCTGGCAGCCAAGAGAGGCTGGCAGAGAGGGCGGCCCGGAGGACGCGACGTGAATATATTGGAGCGGACGGCCAGGAGACCAGAGGGCGAGAGGCACGCGTGGGCAGGATCGGATCGGCCAGGTAGTGGGAAGCGTTGCGCTCCGCAGCGCCGCCTGGCACCCCTGTGGGACCACAGGTGGGGTGCTCGAGGCTCAAAAACATCAGGAGGGGAAAAAACACGCAGACACAACTAATCGTCGATTCCAAGGAAAATATGGGAAAGTATGGGAAGCGTGTTGGAAGACAAAGACACAGACAGTATGGGAAAATATGGGGAATATTCTTATTTGTGTGTATTTATTTATGTGTCCTGGGGCCCCTCCAAAACAGTCTTGGCAGTATTCGTACCCCGCCCTGCCCGGCTGCGCGTGGACAGGGGCGAGGAGGGGGAGGCTGCCGGTGCACGAGCGACCGCTGCCACAGGAGCCGCAGGTTGTGAACTACGTCAAGTTCTGCGCCGCGGTGGACGAGGTCCCCTCGGCGACCGCCGCGGGATGCTGCCTGCTCGTTCCTGCGCGCGCGTTTCCCGAGCCTCTTTTGGGCGCTCGGTTGGGCGCCCTCTCTCGGCCATGTCCCTGAGGGCTTGACGGCTTTTCTCCACTCGACTTGCGGGGATCAGGCCAGAGATAAATCGAGGCAAATGCAGGTAAATCGAGGTGGGTCTGGAGACATCTGGGTATGTACAGGTATACCCAGGGAAGCCTGGAGCAAATCGTGGACGCTCCAGCGCGATTCGAGGAACAGCAGTCGTGAAGCCCGGAACGACAATGGACGAGTGCAGCTCGACGATCATTCCAGGATGGCTCGTGGGCGAAACACAAATCCGTATCCGCGGCCTTGCGGGCCAGGCCAATGCGGGGCGTCTTTGCGCGGATGCCCCGCGCGGAACGTATCCGTGCGACCGCGGATCCGCGGATCGCGCCCTGGAAGCCAGCCCGCGAGGGCGCAGATGCAGGTATCCGACGAGACGTCAGCATGACTTTTCGCCGGAGTGACCGTTGGTGCGGGCCTACTGGGGTCCCCAGATACGGTGGGGGCGTTGGTTGAGGAATGTGCCCAGGAGGCTTCAGACCCTGGGGGCTTCCTTATCTAGTAAGGGTGGGGGTGATATCCATGGCCAATCCACGATTGGAGCTCCACTGGCCCCCAGACCCTGGATTCCTTATCGAAGGGTTTCTTATCCCATGTCCCCAGATAGCCGAACGCGATACGATTCTGGGCTGTCTTGGAGGCCTGCTGGGCTGTCTTGGGGCCATCTTGGGCCGTCTTGGGACCTTCTTGAAGCCCTCTTGGGTGAGAACGCCCAAATCCGTCAAGAACCGAATGGAAATCAATGGATTTTGTGTCCTGGCGCGCTGTGGAGACGCTTCTTGGAGACGTCTGCAGACGTCTTCGAGGCGTCTGGGCGTCTTGGACCGATCGGTGGGCGACTCTGAGCCCTTTTGGACCATCTTGGGGGCCTCTGAAGGCAATCTTGGAGCGCTCTGAGGGTGCGGAAGACCGCCCTGGGGAGTTCAGGCATCCTTGGGCAGACCCTGTCGCGAGTCTGCCGGAACCTTGCCGGGGTTCTTTTCGTCCTGGGACCCCCAGGGGCCGGCCCGCGCGCGCAAATTTGAAACATTGTGGACCAGTTACCAGAGATCTTAGCACGCAGCTGGCCCGTTAGGCCGTCGAATTCGGATACGTCCCCAGCCCCCCCCCCCCTGGGCCGCGCACGTGCCGCCAGCAATGATCTGCGCCCCCCCCCCTCTTGGACGCCCCCTCTTGGCCGCCCCCGATCTTGCCCAGGGTCACTCTTTTGCGTGTAGCCGAGCGGAGGAGAAGGAGGAGGAGGAGGAGGAGGAGGAGGAGGAGGAGGAGGAGGAGGAGGAGGAGGAGGAGGAGGAGGAGGAGCCCTTTTCGGAGGACTCTAGGGAGGAGGAGGAGGAGGAGGGCGCAAAGTTATTCGCGCTTCGCGCTTCGCGCTTCGCGCTTTGCGGGTCGGCTCCGATTCCTCCTCAGCCTCCTCTTCTCCGCTGGGGGCCGGCGCGAGAGCGCGAAGCTGTTGGCGCTTCGCGCTTCGCGCAGCGCGCCCTTGATGATGTCGTCCCCGGCTTGCCAGGGTTCAGCTTTGCGTTTGTGGGGTGTGCGGAGGGCGCATCTTCCCATGTCTGATAGTCCAGGCCTCCCAGATGGGGTCCGAGCAGATGTGGTCGGAGGATCGCGCCGTATCGCCAATGCGTCGGCGATGCGGCTCGATGTGGAGCTCGATTTTCTCAACGCCGACGGCGCCGATGCATCGCCGACGTCGCCTGTGCATCGTCGATGCTTCGGAGATGTATCGGCGACCCTATCTGGGAGGCCTCTGGATAGGGCAGAGTGAATCTGAGGCGAGCGAGATGAGACGCCAGCATGTGGCCTTTGGGAGGCCCCGTCGTCGCCACGGCTGGACGCGGCTCCAAAAGTTGGTCCCTTTCACTTCATCCCCTCCTCTTGACCAGATTTGCTCGGGACGTGTCCAGCTCAGACCCCGGGCCGCCTCCAATGATAGGGCAGAGAGGAGCACGAAGTCATGCTGCTCCAGGGCATCCGTTTCCTTCTCGCATCTGGTCGCATCCATGGCATCCATCGTTGCATCCCCGTCTCCATCCTTTCCTCGTCCTCCTCGGCAAGGAGTGTTCTGTGACAGAGCCAGTCTGGATCACTTCGGGCATGCAGCCTTTCCTCAGACGAAGACGGACCAGAGGATTCATTACCTTGCTTGGCTGCGATGATTTGCTTACAGTGCCGTTTTTAATACATGCTCCGCGTGCGGATCATGTATTAAACATGCATGGATTCAGCATAAAAAAACAGCGATGAGTTCATGCATGCATTTATCCATATATGAGTCATGTATTACAAATGTATTAAACATCGTGTTTTTTTTTTTGTTTGTGTGTTTTTTTCTCTCCTCTTTATATACAGATATAAAAAATAAGAAATAAAATATGCCCTGTAGGGAGGGGACAATTTGATGCCTCAGGCTTCGAGGTGGGCCCCTCTCTCGGACAGCTCAGCGGCGCGGGCCCTCCCCCCGCCTCCTCCCCCCCCCCCTCCATGGAGTATGCAGGGCATTTTTTTGTTTTGTTTTGTTTTGTTTTGTGTTTTTGTTAAACAAAGAAGAAACTATAGGATTTTCGATACATGATTAATGCACGAGTAAAGTTTTTAATACTAAATCCCTGCATTTTTAATACATGATCGGCACGCGGAGCATGTATAAAAAACCGCACTGTATCTTTGCTGTTTTTGGCGCCTGTTTCGTTCAGGTGGAGTCTCCCTCCCCTGATCCCCCTTCCGCCCGATGTCGAAACGCCGAATCAGAAAACGCTCACCACCGCAGCCTCAGAGTCCGGGTTGCTCACCCTGGGCGGCGTGCTCTCTGTGCAGAGGCGGCCTTCCCTTTGTCCGCCCCCCCGGCCAGCAGCTCCGCTCTTCTGCCAGTGGGCATTTTGACGGTGCTCCGCGCGCCAGGTCTTCTCCCAGCACGGCGAGACATCCTGGGGAATAGGCCCCGCGCTTTGCTGCGAACTAGTCCGCAGTCAATGCACGCTGTTGGGATGCAACCCCTGGGAGGTTGGGTTCACCATCAGCGCTGGTATATCCGTATTCGAAAACTGGCCGAATCTGGCCTATCTCGTTCATTCCCGTTGAATTCCGCGGAATCCCGCTTGATTTGTCGACATCCGAATCCATCCCGAGTTGAATCTGGCCTGCGGCCGAGTGGCCTTGTGATCAGACCTACTAGCCTTGAGTCGTCCTTACGATGACCTCCCAAGAGTTTCCTCATAAACATTGCCATACCGTAGAATTCAGCGTGCCTCCTCGTTGCCATATTGCCCCTTCGTTTCTCTTCTTGACGTCCTTCGGGACATCACTCCAAGACGATCAGTTCAAGACGTAGCCGTAGCAGCCCCACTGTTATTCGCCAGCGGACTTCCTCAGGGAGCGCAGGCTCTCCGGAGGCCCTCAGGCCAGCACGGGCAGCTCAGAGGAGATTCCGTACCAGAAACACGTTCGCGTGAGGTGTTGTTCGGCTGGTCCTCGGATCATCGGTGTCGCCGTGTCAGAGCTCATGCCGCGAGCCTGAGCTGCCAGGAAGTATCCTGGCCCTTAATCGACGGGTCATTTTTCCGAGCTTGTGGACGCCGACTCCCTCACCAAGGCCTCGTGGGGAGCCCGCGGACGATTCCGAGACGGCCGAATCTTTCTTGAGGCGATCTCGCTAAGGGGAGACATGTCTCGATGTAATCCTGCAGAACCTTCCCCGCGATGGTAGAGGACCCCCATGTCGACCACCTCCCTCTCCTCCCTAGCTCCGAGCTGGGGAGGTGTGAGAGGGGACATAAAGGCAGGAGGAGGAGAAGGCGTAGGAGGAGGAGGAGGCGGAGGAGGAGGAAGAGGAGGAGGAGGAAGATGAGAAGGAGGAGGAGGAGGCGGAGGATGAGGAGGCGGAGGAGGAAGAGGGGTAAACGCGTGAGCATCGACGGTCTCATCTCGGACGGGCAGGATCGACGACCATTTCAGGGAGGAGCACGAGGAACTAAAATCCTTCAACAACCGAGGAACATCGATACTTTTCGTGCATTTCCAGCTTTCTCGCCTGATATGCGCTTCCGAGGCTTCAAGGTGGGCCCCGAGAGGCCCTCAAGAGGCTCTCTAGACGTCTTCAAGATGCCCCAAGAAGCTGCATGAGGTGCCCAAGAGGCCTCAAGAGGCCCCCCAGAGGCCCCTAAGACGCTCCAAATACGTCATCAAGAGATCACCCAGATGCCCCCCAGAGTCGCCAGAGGCCCTCACGAGCCCCACGAGCCCCCAAGAGGCCCCCAAGAGGCCCCCAAGAGGCCCCCCGAGAGGCCCCAAGAGGCGTCCAAGACGCCCCCAAGAGACCCCCAAGAGGCCCCCAAGGCCCCCACCAGAGCTCCCCAAGGCGCTCTCAAGACGCTCCCAAAACGCACACACGAGGCTCCCAGAAGCCCCGCATATGTCCGAAGACGTTCCAACATACTTCCACAACTCACCGTCATGGTGCCCTCTTGCGGCGCTCTCGCTGTCCTCTTGCCGTCTTGGGGTGTAATGGGTGCAGATTGTTATCCCCTGGGCTACATGCTACATTGGAGCTACCTTGAGGCCTCAAGCGAACTTCGGAAATGAAACAGTATGATCACTCGGGGACCTCCTTGAGGGGCTCCGTGGCCACCAGTAGCCGCTTTGTTGCGGTCTTGCGGCCGCCAGGAGGCATGTTAGAAGCTATATTGGACCATCTTGGGCTATTTTCGCAGGTCTTGAAGCCATATTGGGCTGCTTGGATCCCTCGTGGAGCCAGTTTCAGCCTTGTTGGACGGTCGAACGTATCGAGGGAGGGGTCCAGACCCAGGGGGAGGGGAGAGAGAAGCACCCCATCCTCGAAGCGGGAGAAAGGGGTGAGATCAACTACCTCGCTCAACCACTCACGCCCACAAGGGCTGGCCAGATTCGCAAACGATTTAAACAATGAAGCAACGCGTAAATCAAATAATATGGCAAATGGCGATACTGCGAAATGAGGACGAGTTCGCTGGAGGGGGGCGAGGACGGCAAGGCGGAGTGAGCGAGGGAATGAGGGATGCGCCGTGGTGAAAATATGAGGACGAGAGGGAGCAGGGGGAGCGCCCAGGGCGACGGTATGAGAGCACGGTCGACACGAGCCCGCGAGCTCTCCTAGCCAGCTCATCGCTTCTGTCTCAGCCGTTGCGCTTGCTTCCAACGCGTAGGGCCACCTAGAAACAGACCGCGCGCGGAGCGCGCGCGAATGCTTCCAGTCCAGAAATATCCGGACAACTCGTGAGCAGATCGTGGACGTTTCAGCGCGAGTGGGGGGACAGCAGAAGCCGTCAAGCCCAGGTCGGGTGCAGCATTCTGCGCGCAGTCGGACCGAGGCATTAATATCGAGGTCGGTTCGGGGAGGGTGCCCCGTAGTGCTCTTCGTGCTGGTGGGATGCTCTTGTGCATCCTGGGGAGGCTACCCTTGGATGTTCTGTATGTTTTGGCCAGCGGAGGGTCTCACAGACCGTTCCTTTGGCCGAGGTCCGACTGTGCTGCGTGCTGCGTGCTCGCATGGCCGCCGCTGTCTTCCTCCGGCCCCTGGGCGGACGGCGTCGCGGCGGCCTCTGCGCCCGCGGCCCCTCGGACAGCGCCCGAGGGCTGCGTCTGACGCTCTCGTCCGCCTCGGCGCCCGCGCGTGCTCGAGGAATGCTCCGAGGGGCATTACCTGGCCGAGAGAGAGAGAGAGAGAGAGAAAGACGAGAAAGATGTGAGAGGAAGAGAGAGAGAGAGTGAGAGAGGAAACATATTAACATAACAATAGTATCATTAATAATAATAATGCTATTAATCATAGTATGATAATGATAATGATAATGATAATGATAATGATAATGATAATGATAATGATGATAATGATGATGATAATGATGATGATGATGATGATGATGATGAGGATGAGGGGGAGGAGGATGAGGACGATGCTGCTCCTGATGATAATAATGATGATGGCGATGACGATGACGATGACGATGATTCTGATGGCGATGACGCTGATGATGATGACGATGCTGATGCTGATGCTGATGCTGATGCTGATGCTGATGCTGATGTTGCTGCTGAT